AACAATATTTACCGGCCTGAATAGCCGAGAAATTTTATTTTCTCTGAAATTATCTTTTTTTACCGGGTCTTTTACGTTGTATATCCAATATATATATATATATATATATATATATATATATATATATGTGTGTGTGTGTGTGTGTGTGTGTGTGCATTGCGCATAGACTTTCAGCATTAGTGCACTCTCTAGACTAGCTGTAACCCCTCCCAACACCCCACTATTATTACTATTAGTACTATAACAAAGGAACGAGAATAAAACAAAAACATCTGGAGTAAATCAGCTTCGTTGTATTTTAGATCTCATATCTATACATGTTTTGTAAAAATCAACAAGAAAACAAAATCTATTTGGGTCTCAAGCCCCACCTTTCCAAATATGGACCCTTTTGTCTAAAATAAATTTTACCTCTACTTTGTTCCTTTTTATGAATATAGTAATATTGAAATGAATCTTACTTCATTTACATATGAGTGCATTCACACACACACACTCGCACACACACACACACACACACACACACACACACACACACATATATATATATACATACTTGTGTATTTGGGCAGCAATCTCTCTTTCATAAATGTTTTATTGACACTGCACTGCGATTAAGATTTTTATTATATTTTTCTTACATTCGAAACCTCTTGTACGAATGCAAGTGATATATAATAAAAAGATTAATCGCAGCGTCTTATGAGTAGTCTTCAATGAAACGTGTATATCTATCTATCTATCTATCTAAAATATAGCTTTATGGTATGCTAGATTATGGCTAAAATACTCCATATAAAGGATAAAGCGTATGTAAATATAAAAGTAGACACTGAGATCCATAATCTACCACTGATCATCACACATAATTAGTCGAGCCAAAACAACACACATGGCCTGAAGATTGCCTTCAAGCATGAAACAGATTGTCGCCGTTCGGTGTTGATCGCACTGTTCACTTATATATATATATATATATATATATATATACTTGTCAGCTGTCAATATACCACATACCCTTGAGCGCTTGGCCTTGGAGCGGGTAGAATGGAGATCAAAGTGTTTTAGTGGACTCACCAGTTTTCAGTTTGCTTGTCTTCAAGAAGCGAGAGCAAGATCTAAAAGGTCAGCCAATCTAACAGTGATCTCATCCCACAAACATCACTCTTGCACCTCGACTGGGGAGAACCAAAATGGTTTATGAACAATTCTGCTAGTAAGCAGGCTGTATGTGAAACGTCATTTCCTTTTTTCCATTTGTTTAAGAAGAAAATATGCATAAAGCGAAAAGATGACGGAGTGCTTGTTGATAGCAGTTTGGTGAACGATGCGTGAGATGTTACATCGTGGCTAGTCTGGGAGTATTCGTTGCCGATAACAACGGTCAAAAGTTTAGGCACAGCATTTCCAAGCCTTCTAAGAGTGAGGGGTGGAGGAGGAAAGGTGAGAATAGGAGAGAGTAATACAATGAAAGGGATAGGAGCGATAAATTCAAACGATATTTATTGTAGTAATGGGGAATGTTGTTTTTGCTTATTATAAAAAACCAAGCTAAATCTATGAAAATGTTTTGTAAATTAAGAAATTTAGAGTTGGTAATTTTTTCTTGGTATGTTGAATATATAAGTTATCCGGGTTTAAAAAATAAAATTAAATCAGTTTTTTTTGGAGGAGGATTAATGCTGTGAACGTAAGAATTTATATTTTATTTTCGTTCTCATTGCATCGGATATATATATATATATATATATATATATATATATATATATATATATATATATATATATATATATATATAAATATATAGTATTAGAAAAACTATAGTTATTGATGACGCGTTTTGTCCAATGTGGACATTCTCGTGGACTTGGACGAAACGCGTCAGCAATATCTACAGTTTTTCTATTGTCATTTATATTTATAAAAATTTTTTTCTACAGGTTAACTCTGATAAATTTTCATATATATATATATATATATATATATATATATATATATATATATATATATATATATACAAATTTGTGTGTGTGTATTCCGTTTATTAATGAACAAATGGTTGAGATACGAAACCTTGATTTTACATTTCACAATAAACTTTTCAATGAAAATCTTTTTGTTTTAAAAATTCATCATTCTGACTTTTTCTTCTATTTTTCTTCTATCCATTTAATATTTTTGAAATTTTGTGTGCCAATATTTATGACAAAGAGAAAACTAAGAATATCTTATGATTCTTCGTAGATAGATAGATAGATAGATAGATAGATATAGGCGAACTGAGTTTTTTTTATCACAGTTTATCCGTATCTCGCAAACGCAGTCTGTTCAAATCCATTGATCTAATAATTTTCATGTATGTGCTTTTATGGAAATCTTGCTAATCCAAGTTTGGGCTTTGTTCATGAATTATCTATGTTGGACATGAATCTTTCGTTTCCGTTTCTTCCCCTGAACGAGAGTACGTGACACAAACGAGAAATGCATACCATAGTGGTTTAAAGCGCTGGTTAAATGATTCGGGTTTCTCCAAGAGTTTTGAATTCGATCTCTGGGTTTGGCTGTGCTGAAAATCACATATTCTGGTTCCCTGGAAGTCACATACTCTTGTTTAGTGGAAGAAAATTAACAGCAAATAAAGAGGAATAAAACTGACGCTTTGAAATATTTCATAAGCGAAAGACGAATGAGAATAATCTACGCGTGTGAATTGAATAAAGTGTTCAGTTAAAAATTCCGTAATTGATAGATTCCTGAAGAAGGCCGGAGTGGCCGAAATGTTTTGAGTATAACAAGATGAGTGGGCTGATTCGAATAAGAAATTATCTTTCATTGTTTTTATTTTCTACTCAACCCCTGGTCTTTGTTTTTATCCAACCTTTTCATATTTACTTTTTGTAGATTTGGTCGAGTTTAATTCTGGTTATTCTTATTTTCTTTCTTTTATTTCACTCTTCATTTGACTTGTTTTCATTCACTCTTTTTCTCCTCCATTTTTTCCTTCCTTTTTTATTTTTTTCTGTCTTTTGCTTCGTTTCTATTGTTCTTTTACGGCACTTTCGTCATTTTCTTTGCCTTTTTTTAAGAGAATAGAAAGACGTAATTTCTAAGAAAAAAAAAGGCGGTAGATTTAAAGGAGGGAAGAAAGGAAAGAAAGAAGGAAGGAAGAAAGGAAAGAAAGAAGGAAGGAAGAAAGGAAAGAAAGAAGGAAGGAAGAAAGGAAGTTTTCTATCAGTTTCCTTTTTGTTCCTCTCTTGCTTTCTTAAACTTTAGTTTCCTGTCGTGGTTACCATCTGCCAATCCAAAACAAATGGCTTCCTTTATCGCGTTCCTTATACGTGTTATAAACAGCAAAGAAATTGCAGTCATGCCCGTCACCAGGTTTTCACTTTATCAACAAAAAAGGGAGGATATAAAAGGGGATAATAAAATAACCCTGTTTTGTTGTTTCTTTCAAAAGAGCATAAAATTAGATAATCTGTGACGTAATCTGGTAGCGTCTCCTTTCTTTGATTAATATATCACTTGCTTTTGCATTTCTCACATTACTCTTATCTCTTTTTCATCCCCTGTTGCTTCGTACTTTTCAATTTTTTACAAATAATTTCAACTTCTTTCAAATTCTTAATTTTGCATCGCTATTATTGGCTTTTCATTTATTCTCCCTTTATCTAGAGTTATTGTAATTTTTTAAAATTCTTATTTTTCTGTTAATTTGTTATAATGTCTTTCATCGAATTTCTTTCATTCTATAGATTTATCACTTTTTCCTCACCTTTCTTTATTGCTTATTTTCTATTTATTTTCTAATTTATCAAGTTTCTTTTTTCCTTCTTTCGTTCATTCGCTATTGTTTCTTTTCCATTTTCTTTCTGCAAATTTTATCACGTTTCTTTGTTTGTTTCTTTCTAATTTTCCATTTTCTTCCTTTTTGCAGATTCATTCCTTTTCTTACGTTCCGCATATTTATCGCTTTTCTTTCTTTCTTTCTTTCTTTCTTTCTTTCTTTCTTTCTTTCTTTCTTTCTTTCTTTCTTTCATTCATTCATTCTTTCTTTCTTTCTTTCTGTCTTTCTTTCTTTCTTAGTTTTCCATTTTCTTTAATTTTTCAGATTCATTCCTTTTCTTACTTTCCGCAAATTTATCACTTTTCTTTCTTTCTTTCTTTCTTTCTTTCTTTCTTTCTTTCTTTCTTTCTTTCTTTCTTTCTTTCGTTATAGCTTATTTTCCATTTTCTTACTTTCCGAAAATTTATCACTTTTCTTTCTTTCTTTCTTTCTTTCTTTCTTTCTTTCTTTCTTTCTTTCTTTCTTTCTTCTTTTGCTTATTTTCCATTTTCTTTCTTTCTGAAAATGTATCGCTTTTGTTGGATTGTTTGTTTGTTTCTTTCTTTCTTTCAGTTCATCGCAAAATTTTCTTTCTTCATTCCTTTCTTTAAACCTATTGTTTTTTCCATTTGCGTCTCCGGATTTCTTTTAACTTTTGATTCATCTCTTACCTTTGTTTTCTGAAAATACACCACCTTTTAAGATGCTTGATCATACTGGAAGATAAAAATACAGGCGAAAAGAGATTTATGCCACTCGAATCTTTTCAGAGAACGTAACAAATGTAGTTTGTATAAACCATAACACTGAACTGGATCATTGTCTACAAAGAATGATAAAATATGGCAGATAGTTTACAACAATACTTCAGCAAACAATAGAATTGATCAAAGGAAACTTTTACAGTCTAGAATAATATATTTGGCATCAACAGCTATATTCGTATCAAGTGACTGATGTACGGGATAGTATAGATATTTGGGGTTGAAGAAAATTTCAGGAGAAATATGAAAAAGAAATGAACAAATAGCGAACAAATTAGACTACCAAAGTCTAAAGAGGATTGAGTTCTTGACGTTTTGCAAGCTCATCTTGCAGGTCAATTTGCTAGCATAATAAGGTATAATATGGATACTCATTTATTGTGGCCTTGGGTCAGACTAAGCTAAATTTATTAAATGAAATGATGATAGAAAGAAATGTAGAAAGCTGACGAAAGGGTGCGAGAGATGAATGAGGAAAATGAAAGAAAGGAGGAAGAAAATAAAGAAAGTAAACAGAAAGAAAGATTATAATGAAAAAGAAAAGGAATAAAGAAAGTTAACAAAATAACGAAAGAAAGATAATGAAAATTAAACGGAAAAAAATGTAAAAAATGCTTAAGTGATAAAAAAGTAAAAGTAAAAAGAAAGAAAAGTGAGAAAAAAGAAAATAAAGAAAGAGACAAAGTCAGAAAGGTGGCAAAACGAAAAGAAGAAAGAAAATGATGAAAGAAAAAAGAAAGAAAGAATAATGACAAACGATAGTAACGAAAGTAATATCTTAAAGAAAAGTGATGAAAGAAATAAAAATACATTTTCTTTCTTTCGTCACTTTAACATATTACGGGAAAACAATGTTGAAAAAAAGAAAGAAAAACAGAAAGAAAAGGGAAGGAAGTAACGAATAATGAAGAAAGAAAGAAAGAAAGAAGAAAAGTATCAAAAGTAATGAATAAGGAAAGAAAGAACGAAAGAAATAAGTAGAAAAGTATTAAATGAAACGGATAGGGAAAGAAAGGAAAAAAAACGAAAACAAGAAAAAAATAGTGACAAAAGTAAAGAAAAGACGAAGAAAGCTGACGGAGGCAAAAAAAAAAAGTGAGAAAAAAGATAGAAAAATGTAAAAAAAAAACAGAAATAGGAAACGTAAAAAGGAAATGAGGGATAATTGACAGAAAGGAGATCCAGAAGAGAAAAACGAAAGAAAAGCGACGAAAGAAAGCTAGAAAGAAAAGTCACAGAGAAAATGTATTCAGTTACAACAAAAGCCCCTCAAATGATGAGAATATCAAAGAAACTAGCAAACAAAAGACCCCAAGATTTGATGAACCAAAAGACTGTGAACTATTTTGGCAATTCCAGGAATTTTTAACTGAATCACTTAGACCGATAATATTCACAATGTGCCAAAAAATTTGTCCAGCGACTGACAAGATATCTGCGAGGTACATTGAAAAATGTGTCCTGCAATCAAAAGTCTTTGGCGAGCAGAAACATAGAAACAAATGTGACACCCGCGTGAATATTTGCTGATACAGCGAATATAAAAACGTATAGTAATTTATTTTTCTTTAAATATTTGTGTTCTTGTTCGGATTTTAGACAACCAAGATGGTAGTAGTGCGGTTGGGTGGCTATGAACGAGAAATCGGCGAGCAGAGTTCGAATTCCAGTTGTGTTAGTCACATTCACTTTCACGCAAATACTCTTGGGAAAGGTATGAATAAATCCATCTATTCTATCCCCCGCTATGGGTTAAATAGTAGGGGAAAAGTGGATCTTCAAGCTTTATTGGCAAAAGTCTAAGTAAAGGAAAACTCGAATAGACGGAACACGCGGTCGTTCAAGAAAAAACAGACATAAAACCTCCCCTACTTCAGAGAAAAGTGGTTGAGTATAGATCCAAATCCCTCACTGTGTTGAAGAATTCGGTTGCAGAAACCTTAGCGTCAATTATATATAGCGTGAATGTCCAAAGGTGAAATGGAAAGAAAGCAGACTAAAAGAACCTTGCTTACATTTAAAATCAACATTCGAAATTTTGGCTTTTACCTGAACCCAAACACTGACGTTTGGCACCACTTGGAAATACGTAACTGTCTCATGCATGCAGCAGAACAAAATCTGAGCGATCATTGCTAAATTACTGTAACGAGTTTCTAATAGTTTATTAAGATTAACTTCATCTTGTCACGTTAAGTCACATCATGAGTCCCGTAACGTATTAGGGTCGTAAGAACAACCCGTTTAGTACTCGTCCATAACATCATTTGTCTCCAGGTTGGTTTTGAATTCATAGTTTATCTTCTCTTTGATTGGTAGTCACCTCAGGGCAAGAGAATATAGCCCCGCCCCCCGCCATTTAACCCATATCTGGTGGGCGAATGGATAGATTCATAACTTATACAAGGGAATTTGAGCGAGAGTGAACGTAACGAACTCTGCCAGAATACGAACTCGGTTTGCCGATTTTACTTTCTGATTCGCTAACTGTTAACAGCACGAAGGCAAGTGAATAGAGAGAGGAAGATTGTGTTGCGTCTATCATTCAGTTGAGCAGGTCTGTCCTGAAAATCAGCATTCAGAAATCTGGTCTTTATCGAGGCTCTAACACTGACCTCTGACATTTTTAGAAAGTATGTAACTATCTCAGCCACAAGACAGACCACAAGAGAAATCATTGGTTATTAAAATAGTTTAATTTATTAACTGTAGCTTTATTTTAGTTCAAACCTGGGTTGTTTGATTTTGGTAGCAATGCATGCTATTAAATTGCCCAGAAAAATATGGTTTTTAAACGAAAAAGCATTTGAAAACAAAGTAATGAAGAGACCTAATGTCGTAAGTGGTATATGAAAATTATTTCTTTGACGGTGGTTGTGAAGTTTAACTTAGCACAACAAATCGAAGATAAAAAATGTGAAGTAGTTTCTGGCTTATTTTTTTAGTTTCGACACTGTCAAGTGAAGTTATTTCATTTTCTCTGCGTTTTCTAACTTCGGCGTAAAGCTATCAAACAAAGTGAAACATCAATTAAGTTATCAGCGATGAAGATACCACTGACGGTAAAGTTCGCTATTGATACCAACTGTTACGTCGCGGAGATAAAAGTCTTAAAGACTGTAAACCTCTTAGAAGGAAATCAAATTCGGAGTACTTTTAAGAATGACTATCTTACAACAGAAAATAAGTGATATTAAATAGAAAGCTTAGCACAAATAAATGAAGTATCGTTACCCACTTAATTAAAACTATATATTTCTGGAGAAACTAAAGCTGTTATTTTTCAAATTAACGCTCTTTATGTAGCGATTCAACTTGTAGATGCCAAAATCAAGCGAATGCGGAAATTTAGATATCTGACATTGAAATCGAAGGACGTATTGGAATAGAAACGATGCCTTCCAAAAACACGGTAAAGTATTAAGAAACAGAAAAAATTCAGTTAGAAATAAAGAAAAGAGTGCTCAGCTGCTATATAATAGTACTAGACTGATGTCGATGCCTCATCCATTTATAGTTGATCTGGCTACATGTAACCGTAAATTCTATGCTAACAGTTCCTTTTCTCGCACTTCTCGCTTGTGAAACTCTCTTCCGGCTCGATGCTTTCCAGTCAACTTTATTCTGCAAAAAATTAAATGCACTGTCAATCGCTATCTACTGTCCTCCTGATTACTCTTTCCTCTTCATTATGAATGCTTCCGTTCCTAATTCTTCCACACTCTGTAAACCCTTGTTTCTTAGTGGCTTTATTGCCTTGCATGGGGATGATACCAATTAAAAAAATCATTCTATCTATATGGCAGTGAATTCTGGATAATTTTCGCACAGATAAAGAGAAGACTTGAGGTAAAAGAGAAAGGGTTCCGCAGACGGATACTGAGAATGCAATGGACGGAGCATGTAAGTAACAAGGAAGTTTTAAGGAAAATGGACGCTTATACTTAAAATCAGAAAGAGAAAGTTCAGATTTCTAGGATACATGACGACGAAAGAAATCTCGGAAAATCTGACACTCACAAGACATACTGAAGCGTGATACTAGAATGGCATGTAGGTCTCCCCGTTTTACTTTTGAACTACCTAGATGCAACCTTCACTTCTAATCTAACATTTTCTTTTCTTGCACTCTGCACCTATAGAACTTTCTTCCGCTTTCTTGCTTCCCTGATATCTACACTTTTCAAAAATTGAAATGCAACGTCAATCGCCATCTTCTGTCTTCTTGAACCCTGTTCCATTTTTGTCCTTTCCTCACTCCTCCCCAGTAAAGTATTCTCATTCGGTTTTCATTCTCTGTGTCCACCCCACCGTGTTCTAGTAGCGTTGTCTAGTGGCATCGTCACCTTGCTTTGGGTGAAATGATTAAAAAGATAAGAAAAATAAAGACAGGTGGGGGGGGATACGAGTAAAATACCTAACGAACTTTTTGTAAAATAGAGTTAGAGACATAGTAAAACCATGTATATTGCTAAGAGCTTCAAAAGATAGAAAGTTGTGAAGAACCATGATCACCTACGTCCTGAAGCACATAGCACATAAAAGAGAAAGATACTTTCGATTTTTTTCAGATTGAATTAGTGTCACGGGTCCTTACCTATAACGACAGAATGAACTCTCCCTAACACTATGTATATTACGCCTCTCAAGAGAGAGGGACGAATCAAGCCGATCTTTTCGACTTGACGGTCGAACTCTCTGCTTTTCAGCAGAAAGGAACCCGGACGAGGTTCCGCCGAAGGACAGAATCTCGTTCGGGGTGAATGACCTACCCTATCTCGTTTTTACGAGTCATACGGGCATATTTTTGGCTGAGCCTACGGGCTCAGGAAACACACGATAAAAATGACCTTGTGTCGCATGCAACCCTCGTGGGGGGGTGGCTAGATACTGAATCAAGCCGAGCTTCACGGCTTGACGGTCGAACTCTCTCCCTCTGAGCAGAGAGGAACCCGGACGAGGCTCCGCCGAAGGGCAGAGTTTCGTTCGGGGAGGTTGACCAACCCGATCCCGTTTATACAGGTTCTACGGGCATTTTTTGGCCGAGCCTACGGGCTCGAGAAACCCACATTAAACTCGGCCTTGTGTCACATGCAACCCTCGTGGGGGGGGGCTAGATACCGAATCGAGTCGAGCCGATAGTAATTCACTCCAAACCAGACTGACAGTCATACCAACACCTTCCACATCTTGTATTATTATTTCGTGTAATATACCTTTGTTATTTCTACTCTTGTGTTCGTGTTGTTCTTCCTTGGCCCTAACCTGGACCATAATAATTAGTAAATGTCTGGTTTATGTAGATGTCAATCAGCCGAGAACCTGAGTAAAGTTAATTTTATAATAATAATAATAATAATAATGTCAAAGGCAAAATGAAAACAAAACTAAGTAATGAACAGATTCGTTGGCAATTGTAAAAAAGAAATGGATTCGACCCTAAGCGCAAATTGTATAAAAGCAATTCTGAAACTGTCTTTGAGGATAGAAAAATAATGCTACTTTGAAAAAGAAACGGAATAACAGCAAATTACATTTATCCAGCTACTGCGACTGACCGAGAGAAATATAATGCTATACTGTAAGTAAAGAAGAACATAAAAAACCTTTCACGAGGAGTGTACAATTTGTACAATTCAGGGCGATGGTGAAAATCGATCTCATAATTACTGAAACACTACTAACGGTTCCTAAAATATCCTTCAATATCATCATATGTGTTATATTCCGTGCTAATAGGAATATATACTTGACAAACACGATGGATAAATAAGTAAAGGTTTATTGTAAAAACCAGTACAATAAGAAATAATGTAACAGTTATGCGCACGATCGTCGCAAGTCAATCCAGTAGTGAGTGCTACGATTGGAAGGTCGGTAGTTCTCGCGTAAGTTGGAGTCGTACTCAACAGATCCCAGCAAGAAATATTTACCAACCTCCCCACGAGGTAGGATGTGGCACAAGGCCGAATTTAATGTGGGGCAATCCGAGACCGTAGGCTCGGCCAGAAATTCCCCGTAAGTCCCGGATAAACGGGTTCAGAGCCTCGTCCGGGTTCCTCTCTACCCGAAGGCAGAGAGTTTGACAACAGCCAAGAACTGAGTAACAGATCCCATCTAGAATATATTTAGCTACCCCCTACGAGGGTTGCATGTGGCACAAGGCCGCTTTAACGTGGGTTCTCCGAACCCGTAGGCTCGGATAAAAATATTTCCCTT